GAGAGTCTCTCTTCGCTCTCCTCGTATATGTGGTGGACAGACTGGCTGTTGTGTTTCTGACTGCCTCTCCACCCCATCGCTAGGCATTTTCCTGCATCTGTATGTATCCCGGAGTCACGATGAGCTTTTTGAAACTTCTTCCCTCATGGAAGCCGCCTCTTTCCCCGCCAGGAGCGCCAATTTGGCCCCACAACCATGCCCCACGATCATGGGTGCCATGCAGTGTGCATAGCCCTGGCACTGAAATTTGTGGGTGCCCTGCCACTCACAAAGGATCATGGGGAATTTCGTGGGTGCTCAGGAACCCAGGGCCCCAGAGACTTGGCACTCTCTCCTTACATTGGAAATCGGTGCCATTGGGTAGAATGGGCCGAGAGAGAAATATGAGATCACATTATAAGGTAAAGGATTTGTATCTACTTTCAAAAGTCTGCCCATACTTTTCCGAAATGCAGCCTCGTTCAAGAGAAGCCTCTGTTGGAAAAAGGGTACTTTGGGAAAGTCTGGGGTGAGGCAGTGGGGTGCAGTGGTTAGAGTAATGGGCTGGGACCTGTGAGACCGGAGTTTGAATCCCCACTGGCCCGTGAAGTTCACGGGGTGTGACCTTGGGCCAGTCACTGCTCTCTAGCCTTGCAGGGTTGTTGAAAGGATTAAATTAGTGGGGAGAATTATGTACATCACACTGAGCTTCTTGGAGAAAAATGTGGGGCATACATGAAATTGATAAATGATACATTTTTTTGTTTGTTTTCAATGTGCCTGGTCAGGTATTTGACCAAACCAAATTGAGGCAAGGGGAAATAAATGCAGCATTGGTGCTCATCTACGGATAAGCAGAAATTGGAATAATATTTACATCTGTGTGTCAGAAAGCAATGTCTCATAGAAACCCAACCAGCCTGGGCCAAGTGAATTCAGATTTAACAGTTTCCTTCATGTAACAATATTAAACAGTGGGCAGAGAAATGTATGACATGAAAGTCTGTATAGCCCACATACATTTTTGCACTAAAACAGCTCTTCGCTCAATAGGTTGGATCCCTTCCCAGGTCAATGGATTTTCTCCTGCGAATTCCATGCATGTTGAATTTGAGGCTAGGTATTAGGTGGACTGGTTGTTCTGTAGCTGAAAAACATCGGATTCTGGAAAAGGTCCAGGTCTGGAATGAGAAAGCAAGTCTTCCTTGACCCGTGACCCTAAGGATCAAGACTTAGGAAAATAAATTGGAGTTGTTGCTGACTTTCCGCCACTACTGCTACATTCAGGGCCCAGCAGTCTGGCTGGCCACTCAGACTGAAAGCTCGGACCAATAACAGGATCCACGGCGTGCTTTTAAGCCAGGCAAACGGCTCCAGAGGGAATTGATAGGATTAATTCAGATGGATCTGAATTAACTGGTTGCTGGATGAAGTGATATGTGGCACGAAACATGGGAGGTGATACAGGTGGGGTGGAAAACCCCAACCATAAACAAGATGCGCCTCTCTTTTTGCTCAAGTATCATAGGTGGAATATAAACAGACCCTTGTTTATGGCAGTCCTCCTGAGAGGTTGAGGCATAAAATATGGACTTCCCTGAATGATGTTCCCTCTAGTCACTCAATAACAGAGTAAGATTCTAACACTGTCAAAGCTGGGCTGATTCTGAGAGCTCCAGACTATTTTGTCTCTTTAATTTGAGAGGAGCAGTTTTGTCAGAAAGCATTTTCCATTTGTGCAAGAAAATAATAAAAAAAAAGCATTCCTGGGTTCTGTAAAGCTGCTCTCAAGAATTTCGCTCATGCACTTCTGGGGGTAGACAGAATGACTGTAAGACCCATCTATCTCTTGGCTCATCCATAGATACCTTGTCTCTACTCACTGATTCCCACATCTATCCTCTTCAGAATCGATCCATAACAATCTCTCTCTTACACCTTTGCATGTTTATCCTCAGAAGTACATCTCACTTAACCTAATGCGACTGATGTTTAGGGCTGTAAGTCTTGATCTTGCCTATTCCATCTATGTCTGCCATGCACAGGATTTCTCCATTTCCCCAAGCAGACCTCAATCTCTCTCTTTCTCTCCCTGGAAACACCTTTGCCTTAAAGTTTCCCTTTGCCATTTGCCCAGCTGCCTTTTGAAAAATAGCATAAAATGAACGGTTAGACACCCCCCTTTTTTCTCAGTATATCTGCTCTGCCTTTGAAAATGAAATGATTCTGAAATAAAATTAACAGGGATGCACACATGGAGACAAGCACACAAGCACACAGCACTTTTTAGTGGAAAACGCTGATGCGCACTTGCAGGATTAGTGGATTTTATATTCTATTCTGATTTTGCTAAATTTGTGTGTGTGTGTGTGTGAGAGAGAGAGAGAGAGAGAGAGAGAGTTGCGGTTACTGGTAGAGATGGCTAGCTCTCCAGAACTGAAGTCAGTTGGTTTTGGATTTCTCCACGTGACAGAGAGATGGCGCTCTTCCCCCAAATATAGATTATCAGGGTCTTATTTTGGATACTTTTAAAGTTGACTATGCCACTAGTGATTTGGTGCCATTTTGTACAGTTAAAAAATTGATTGTAAAAGGAAAGGGAGAACTGAACATTTCGGATAGGGCAAAGCAAGACAGAAACCGAGGAGGAGGGGGCGGCCTCCCTTGAAATCAACCACACCATAATATTTCCATCTCTGCAAACCGGAGAAGCTGCAATGCTGAAATTTAAGTCTTACTGCCTCTGCACTTCCATTGAAGTTGTATCTCCAAACTGGGAAACAGAGGTCTTTGTATTCAGCTTTACATAGATAAGCCAAGATCCTAGGATCTGAATTAATTTCAGGAATGAATGAGAGAGATGCAGAGAGAAGTTAATATTTAGGGAGGGAAGTGATGGGTCTGACTCTGCCTGGAAAGGCTTTGTGAGAGGTTAGGAACCTCAGAGGCAGCCTTGCACTGAATCAAACCATTGGTTCAACCGAGCTTAGTATTGCCTCCTTGGATCCCAGGATTTCAGACACAGGAGCCTTTTGCAGCCCTGCCTTTTCCACTGCGAAATGAACCTGGGATTTTCTACATGCAAAGCAAGTGATCTAACACTGAGCTGCAGCCCTTCCCTCCAGCCCCATGTGTGTGAGGACTTTCTGCAGTTACCCACCAACCTGCACTCTGTGCGTGCTCATGAGCCCTTCCATCATTTCTTAGTGAATGTGTTGCAAACACTGGAAAAAAACGACCACGCCACGATTGAGACCCAGTAGCAATTAATCTGTGCTTCTCCTTAGCTGGCTCCGACCTTACAGAGCAACTTCCTTTGCTATGCAGATATTTCTGTATTTACCCCACCAACTCGAGCTTTTCCCTCCCATGTTGCTATTTAATAAGCCATTTCTATTTTCCTCTGGCGTTGCCTGATGCTGAGCAAGCATCAGTTTGTTAAAGATTAAAGACTGACTCTTCTCGCCCCCGTCTCACTGTGTTGTACTGAAGTAGTTCAGATTAGTGGTTTGTTTGCTTTTTGACTTGGCTTTAAGAAAAATCTCTCCGGGTTTTTTTTGGGGGGTGTGTGTGGTCGTGGCGGCACAATTTATGTCATTTCCCCTTCTTGCGATTGCCCACGCTGTGCATTTTTCTAGCACTCTCCCCTCCTGATTTATTCTTCGATCATAAGAGAGACAGAAGTGCTGCTAATATTTGCCATTAAGAAACATTGCCAAACAGTTGACCGGTATTTCAGAAAAAGGGCCACTAAAATTATCAAGGGGATGGAACAACTTCTTTATGAGGAAAGGTTGCTGTGTTTGGGACTTTTCAGTTTAGAGGAAATGTAAGCGGTGACATGATAGAAGCTCATAAAAATATAGAACCAGAGAATGAGTTGGGAGGTATCCCAGGGTCATCTAGGAAAATGTGGGGTTTTATAGAATCATAGAAATGGTAACATGGAGGCCGGCTTTTTCCCTGGCAGTTCCCGTGTCATGGAATGCCCTTCCTGCTGAAAAATGAGAGGTGCCATCAGTACTGGCATTCTGCTGGCTCCTGAAAGCACACCTGTTTAGGCAGACATTTCCCTGAATGCAAGCTTCCTGATCTAATTGCTTTAATAGCTCTTTTAATTGTTTTGATTTAATGCACATTTTAATTATGGATGTTTTCAATGTTTTGATGGAATTTTCTAACCGCTTATTTTAATTATATGTGGATACTTCATAGTCGTTTTTATATTTGGAAGCTGTTAGGGCACGTGGGGGGTATATATGATAATTTTGTAGCGACAAGAACGATGGCCTTTTGATCCATCTAGCCCAAACCCTGCTCAATCTAAGAAACCTGGTGTTGGAACATGGCCTTCACATGGCTGTTAGTCTCTGCTTGGAGATTTCCCAGGAGGGAAATCCCACCAACCATCCAGGTAATTGGCCCACCATCTTACCATCAAGAGCAACATTCCTCAACCTGAAGGCAGCCCTGTTCAGGGAAGTTTTTAATGTGTGACATTTTGATGTATTTTTAATCTTTGTTGGAAGCCGCCCAGAGTGACTGGGGAAACCCAGCCAGATGGGTGGGGTACAAATAATAAATTATTATTATTATATTATAACCTGGTGTCCACCAGAGGTTTTGGAATACAACTACTACCCATAGCTGTCAACTTTTCCCTTTTCTTGTGAGGAATCCTATTCGGAATAAGGGAATTTCCCTTTAAAAAATGGAAACATTGACAGCTATGCTCCTACCAGCTCCAGCTAAGCAGGGGAAGGCTGATCAAGAGGTTTCTCCTAATGTTCAGCCAAAATCTACCTTCCTACAATGTAAGCCTGCCAGACCTAAGTCCTCCTGCTCTCTGTGGCAGCTGAGAACAAGTCTGTGACCTTATCTGAAGAGTTATTTTTGAGGAGACTTTTGAAGTAACTCAGCTCCCACCTGCACTACACTTATTAAGCAGTATCGTACCACTTAGACAGGCATGTCTTCCCCCAAAGAATCCTTAGCCCAGGCATAGGCAAACTTAGCCCTCCAGATGTTTTGGGACTACAACTCCCAGTATCCCTGACCTGCCCTGTTAGCTAGGGATGATGGGAGTTGTAGTCCCAAAACATCTGGAGGGCCGAGTTTGCTTATGCCTGCCTTAGTCCCTTCACCAAGTTGCAGTTTTCAATCCACCTTTCTTGGAACTGTAGCTCTGTGAAGGGAACAGGGGTCTCCTAACAATCTTCAGCCCTCTTAAATTTCATTTTCCCGGATTCTTTGGGAGAAAGCCTTGGCTATTGAAAGTGGTATGATGCTGCTTTAAATGTATAGTGCAGCTGGGCCGTAAGACAGGCTTAATCCTTAAAAAAAGGAACAGACGTGTTTGTAGGGTATGGATCTGTAAGCTTTTAGTGACGATCCTTTGAATGGAGCCTGAATGTTCCAGGGCAGTGTATCGCTGAATAACTGGTGCTGGTGAGAAACAAGTTGCCAAGGTCCACGCTTTGCTCACGAACTTGCCAGGAGCATCTAAGTGGCCCCTACTGGGAACTGATTATCAGAATTGATAGACCACTTATGGTCTGGTTCACCAAGTCTCTTTTTATGGGTCGGAGTAAGCAGAAAATGAATTGATTATGCCGCACAGAAACAACAGCCGCATTAGTAATGCCAACTATTTATTTATCTTTAACTGGCCTAACTTATTTTTTCCATAAAAATGCATGAAGTGTGGTTCAGTCTAAACATTTTTTTAATGCCCCTTTCAGAAACTGCAACTTACCCATTATAATTCAAAGGCTATTTCTCAGAAATGCATTCCGCGTTTGTGTCTAATCATGTGACAATCCAAAGTCTGTTTAATCAGAACTAAGAGGACTGGATCCTTGACAAGCTGGCTGTGGGAAGTTTAACTGCTCAATCCTTTACGTGTCTACTCAGGAGTAAGACTCATTGAACTCAATGGGTCTTACTCCGGGTAACTGGGTGTTCAGTTCAGGGGTATCAGGCAAAATTACTAGTTATTATGAGGCATTCATCCATCAATAATGGCTGCTTTTGTTGTTGTTGTTTAGTCGTTTAGTCGTCTCCGACTCTTCATGACCCCATGGACCAGAGCACGCCAGGCACTTCTGTCTTCCACTGCCTCCTGCAGTTTGGTCAAACTCATGCTGATCGCTTTGATAACACTGTCCCACCATCTCGTCCTCTGCCATCCCCTTCTCCTTGTGCCCTCCATCTTCCCCAACATCAGGGTCTTTTCCAGGGAGTCTTCTCTTCTCATGAGGTGGCCAAAGTATTGGAGCCTCAGCTTTACGATCTGTCTTTCCAGTGAGCACTCAGGGCTGATATCCTTAAGAATGGAGAGGTTTGATCTTCTTGCAGTCCATGGGACTCTCAAGAGTCTCCTCCAGCACCATAATTCAAAAGCATCAATTCTTCGGCGATCGGCCTTCTTTATGGTCCAGCTCTCACTTCCATACATCACTACTGGGAAAATGGCTGCTACATATAACCAAATTGTCCCTATTTTCTAGGGACAGTCCAATTTCTTTTATGAAAGTTTCCCCTCCCTCATGAGGGTCAGTGGGGTGTAGTGGTTGGACTAGGACCTGGAAGACAAGGGTTATAATCCAGGTGTTCTTCACCAGCAGCTCCCATCATCCCTGACCATTGGCCAATCTGGCTGGGGCTGACGGGAGTTAGAGGCAAACCATGGTATAAGAGGGCTTTACATGTATAGTGGTGATGTGACCTCAGTTAGCCCCCCCCCCCAGCAATAGCGATGCTAAACTAGCAATGGTCTAGCACCATCTTTCTCAACCTGGTGTCCTCCTGATGTTTTGGAATACACTGACAAACTGGAACGTGTCCAGAGGAGGGCAACCAAAATGGTCAAAGGCCTGGAAACGATGCCTTATGAGGAACGGCTAAGGGAGTTGGGCATGTTTAGCCTGGAGAAGAGGAGGTTAAGGGGTGATATGATAGCCATGTTCAAATATATAAAAGGATGTCACATAGAGGAGGGAGAAAGGTTGTTTTCTGCTGCTCCAGAGAAGCGGACACGGAGCAATGGATCCAAACTACAAGAAAGAAGATTCCACCTAAACATTAGGAAGAACTTCCTGACAGTAAGAGCTGTTCGACAGTGGAATTTGCTGCCAAGGAGTGTGGTGGAGTCTCCTTCTTTGGAGGTCTTTAAGCAGAGGCTTGACAACCATACGTCAGGAGTGCTCTGATGGTGTTTCCTGCTTGGCAGGGGGTTGGACTCGATGGCCCTTGTGGTCTCTTCCAACTCTAGGATTCTATGATTCTATGAACTCAGCTGGGCTTTCTCCAGTCCCAGCATCAGAATGTTCGTTTTAGCCGGAGCTGATGGCAGCTATACAGTGGTACCTCAGGTTAAGAACTTAATTCCTTCTGGAGGTTTGTTCTTAACCTGAAACTGTTCTTAACCTGAGGTACCACTTTAGCTAATGCGGCTTCCTTCTGCCACCATGCCACCACCGCGTGATTTCTGTTCTCATCCTGAAGCAAAGTTCTTAACCTGAGGTACTATTTCTGGGTTAGCGGAGTCTGTAACCTGAAGCATCTGTAACCTGAAGCGTCTGTAACCCGAGGTACCACTGTAGTCCAAAATATCTGGAGGTTGAGCAAGGCTATTGCACCAGTGCTTTGGAGAGATTTGAGCACACTCACCTGACTGTGGATCCATTCTAATGACAAATTAATTACCCTGCAGAAAACCCACTGTAGTAGATGGATGAGGCAGGCTGTTGATTTGGTGGAACAAAGTAGTGTTTACCGAGCAGGGGGAAATGTTCTCCTCCCAGCCCCTTTTGTTTCTTGGGATGTGCAAGGAATATAAAGAGCTTTTTTTCACCCACTTTGGTTTCTCTCCCCTCTCGCCGGAGGAGGGCTTGAGGCACAAGGAAGGCAATGATGTAAGCAAGTCAAAAGATGGTATATTCCCTCCCCAGTCTAAAACAGCTCTGACTTTTTGACCTAGATGTCTAAACCCTCCTTATACACACAAAAGCCTCAAACTAAAATGTTGGGGTCAAACCAATGCTGATAAAAGGCAGCTCTGGTCAGATGGATCAGATTCAAAAGAGGAGAGGACTCCTCCCCTTTTAGTTATTGTGTAGGGCAGGGGAGTCCATCAAGTATGGCTCATCATGCAAGCAGAATCCCACTTCCAACGCTTTAATAAATGTACAGGAGCCCCTCTCCTCTTTTGCCACTGGCCACTTGCAGCTATTTTTATATTTAGATCAGGCTTCCTCAACCTCAGCCCTCCAGATGTTTTTGGCCTACAACTCCCATGATCCCTAGCTAGCAGGACCATTGGTCAGGGATGATGGGAATTGTAGTCTCAAAACATCTGGAGGGCTGAGGTTGAGGAAGCCTGATTTAGATCATGCCTCTGCATTTGTTTAAGGAACATTGTGAAGCCCAGTGCTTACTTTTCAGTGGGGCATCTTTTGAGCAGGATGCATGAGGCTGCAGAGAAAACTAAAGAGAGTTGCCACCTTTTCAGTGAGACTCATAGAATCATAAAACTGTAGAGCTGAAAGGGACTCAAGAGTTATCTAGTCCAACCCCTTCCCTACTCCCAGCCTCTGTCTTCCCCATCTATAAAATGGGTGTAATACTACTTATCTCAATTTTACATTTGTCTGGTTATTTCACATAAGAAATGGGGTAGTCTCAGGGCCTCGGCATGCACGTGACTGAATCCTACACAAAAATAGTGACAGTCTGGAAGTGCCCCTGAGATGAATAATGCAGAAGAAAAGGTGCTACTAGGAGATGAAGCAGTTGCAGGGTGGGTCAATTTATAGAGCTCTATAGAGTTTCTCCTCCAGAAAGTCTAGATTGGCTTCCTCTGCTCCATTCTTGAGTCACTGAATGTTTAGATATGGGAGTGTTTGTGCCTGTGTGAATCAATTCAGTAGAGACTTTCTTGATGCTCTCCTAACCTCTTCTCTGCACAGATTCATTTATCATCCCACTCAGATCTCTGCATTTGCTGTATCTTGCTGGAACATCTCCTCCATCTCTCATAGGAAGCCACCTTATATTGAGTCAGACCATCGGTCCATCTAGCTCAGTGTTGTCTACACAGATGGTGAGGATCTCCTACCAGGAGATGCTAGGGATTGAACCTGAGACCTTCTGCATGCAACGAAGCTGCAATGCAGACATTTGAGTGATGACCCTTCCCAATATTTCCTTGCCAATAAATCTTCCGTCTCCTCAAGGACCAGTTCTCCAGGAGAGACCTTCTTTCATAACCTTGCCTTCATGTAACTCCCATCTCTGGTGTCCATAAGCTCTCTTGATTCTCATCACCACAATTCTTACCACTATTTTATTTGTATCCCACCTTTCCATACCTGAAATCATGCTCAAGGTGGCTTGCAACATGGCAAGATTTGAGGAAAGACCTTAAGTGGTATCCAGAGGGAAAGTTCACATAGGAAGAGGCTCTGTAAAGGAGACCTCCATTGAGATCTTCATGGTTCTTGCAGAAATCTGCAGCTGTCCTAGGGATGGTGGGAGTTCTTTCCCATGAGTACCACTTCAGGGACCCCCCTGCACTCCACTGCAATCTCTAATGTTCCATGGGGCATTTTGGTTCTGCAGTCCCATTGTATCTAGCACAGCCTATGGATTTCCTGGGATGCCAGGACAGGATCTGGCCTTCCCGGTTTTATTTATTTTTTTAAAAAAAATATCTTCCACCCTCAAACACTGATCCCAAGGTGGCTCACAGCTCACAACAATGCAAGTGCACTTTTAACAAAAAGAACATGTACAAAATACCTCAAAATTAAGCATGAACCAGCCAATCTCCGTGAACATCAGGAAAAGTCACTGGCTTTCGTCCCAGAACCCCTAACTATGCTGGAATTTGCTTCAGCACGAGCCTTTGCAAGATTAACTAGTGTTCTTCGCAGCTCTCTAGGAGATCTCCTGAACTTTCCCCCCACCCTCTGGCTTTAAGACTGGGCTTTGTTTCGCTTGAAAATAGCTTACCAATTAAGTAGAAAACTCTGACATTGTAGCAATAGGAGCTGGTGACAACCTGACGTTTTTATATACAGAGGCATGTGGGCATGCGACACAGTCCTGATCCCTGATTGGACAAGGCCCCATGGCACCTGATTGGCTGCTGAAGCTGTGAACAAGGGCATTTCAGCTTGCTGGGTCTGTGGTGGGGGTCTTGTTGGGTTAACATGTTCATCTATATGCTAAGTCTCCCAGGCTTGTGGAGTGATGGACTTGAGACATCTGCTGGCAGACAGGTGTGTTTGTGGATATCTATCCTGCAACGTTGCCTGGCAAGGCTTTACCCCTAGCACAATTTTCACCAACCTGGAGCCATCCAGAAGTTTTGGACTACAACTCCCATCAACCCCAGCCAGCATGTCTGGGGCTGTTGGGTCTTGTAGCATAAACCATTTGGAGGAGCACCCAGTTGGTGAAAACTTCCCCCGAGTCTTTGTAACATTGTTGTTGTTTAGTCGTTTAGTCATGTCCCACTCTTTGTGACCCCATGGACCAGAGCACGCCAGGCCCTCCTGTCTTCCACTGCCCCCCGCAGTTTGGTCAAACTCATGCTGGTAGCTTCAAGAACACTGTCCCACCATCTTGTCCTCTGTCGTCCCCTTCTCCTTGTGCCCTCCATCTTTCCCAACATCAGAGTCTTTTCCAGGGAGTCTTCTCTTCTCATGAGGTGGCCAAAGTCTTGGAGCCTCAGCTTCATGATCTGTCCTTCCAGTGAGCACTCAGGGCTGAGTTCCTTAAGAATGGATAGGTTTGATCTTCTTACATACACCACCCTTATGACAGATGACACAAATTTGAAGAGAAATGTCTCTTCCCCCAGAGAAAATGGGGGGAGTGAAATTTCCCGCACACATGCTAACAATAAATTAAGTTTCTCTCTGTGCTCACTTCAGCTTCATTTCCGAGGCTTGAAAATTGCTTTACAGCCAGTCCAAAAGTGAGGATTTTGTATTATTTTGATTATACTGAGATAATCTTTCCTGATTCTTAAAGGAACCCACTTTAAGGGAGGGGGGGAAATGATAGTAGTTTAACTCAGAGGGCTGCCTGATTGGGCACTTCATCTCACAAAGACACACATCAGCGCTTCCTTTATGAAAATTTAAATTGGCTACCTCAGTGGGAGAAAATGAAAGATCCTTTTCTTCTTCTTCAAGTGTATGTTTTCCCTTTTCCCTTTTCCACCCTCTGTGTTGTTATCGGAATTATACCAGAGGGAGGCTATTTTACCCTCCCTGCTGGTGCCTTTTGAAATCTCCCCCTTCCCTCACTTCCTCCGGCTTTGATCAGAAAATGACCGGATGACTGCAAATATGTCTTACTCCATGGAGGCAGCACAGGGAGTAGAGAAAAGGCAGCACTTGGTGGGATGTCTTCGCCAGGAGACAAGGAAAGCAAAGGCACCCTCGGAGTCTGGCTCTCAAATTTACAAGCCTTCCCAGAAATAACTTGCACCCACAGTTAGCATTAGGGGTAGCACACAGAGTCAACACTACTGCAGCTCAGACTTGGGGCTGTAGGAACCCATTCCCAAATGCCGCTAACTGGCATTCGGGCATGAAAAGGGGCAGTGTTGCTGGCTATCTGTTTGCGGAGAAAACTCTGCGCTCTGACCGCCAGTGCAGATCAGGTTCCCATAAAGAACTGGATGGTGATTTCAGTGAAAAGCAACGGCTTTGTATAAAGAAATTGTGGGAGGGACGTTCTACTCATAATTCTATGATGCTCACTGCGGCACATTAGAAACTATGGATACCACAGAAATGATGTGATGTTCCTGGAATCCCTCCTCCCCTCCTTTTTTCATTATTCTACATAACTGATCACATTACAAAGATTATGGGCAATATATATATATATATATATAGGAATGGAAGTGAATTTATCTGGAAGGAAAACAAGGGTTGTGGGGATGGAATGGTGCCTTATTTGCAATTAAGATGGTCACTGATGGTTATTTCTCTCCACCCCCCCCCCCGAGATATTAGCAGCTCCTTGCGCCTAGCACTGAAGTCCTCTTTACACCAGCACTGGAGCAGAAGATTTACTGAGAATGGGCTTTCACAGGTCTACCTCAAACTTGCAGTGGAATTCAGGAATCAATATGTGTGTGAGAGCTTTTATTTCCCAGGGTTAACTTTCATCCTATCAGATCAGGCCCACAGCAAACATTTAAAGCACACTTAGGTTCCATGGTTGCCCCTAGCGAATCCTGGGTATTGTGCTTTACCCCTCACAGAGCTACAGTTCTCAGCACCCTCAACTAAAGGCTGCTTCCTTGAAACTTTGGGAGAAGCCATGCGCTTTAAATGTGTGGTGTGGATGTGACTTGGAGCCAACAAGAACCTTAGCCAAGCAAGCATTGCTGTACCTTGGAGCAAGAAGCCATTGTTTAAATACCATCTCACTGACCAATAAATTTCTCCTACAAATTCCTGCAGAAGATGCTCAGGCTTGTGATTTTAGACATGCACCAGACCATTGACTATGATGGCTAGGGAAGGGCAAATATGGCAATTTTTGTTTCTCTACATCTCTCACCTTCCCCCCACCCCCAATAAATTCAGTTGTCCACATTTCCACATCAGTTTGGAAATTTTCCATAAAAATACGTCAGCATTTTAGTGCAAATATCTCTCAACTTATGCAATTTTGCCCAATACAATTTTGCCCGATGCAATGCATTTTTTTAAAAAAAGCACATTACTTTTTACCGACCTGTGCCTTTATATGCACACTTTCCTTAGTGTGCATGCATTTCTGTATACATAGCTTGGTTGGAAAACAACAATGCAAAACTCAGAGAAGTGCAAATGTCAAAATATGTCTATGCTTTGGTTCATTGTAATGTTTCAAGAAGAAGGTAGATGTGCCTTTACATGAAAACTGAATCAGATTTCTCCCCTAACCTTAATGTTGACCAATAGAGAGAGAGTGTGGTCTGGGGAGAGTCCTGAGGGACAGATGGAATCACCAGGAGGGACACAGAGCCAGTGTGGTGTAGTGGTTAAGAGAGGTAGACTCGTAATCTGGTGAACCAGGTTCGCATCTCCGTTCCTCCACATGCAGCTGCTGGGTGACCTTGGGCTAGTCACACTTCTTTGAAGTCTCTCAGCCCCACTCACCTCACAGAGTGTTTGTTGTGGGGGAGGAAGGGAAAGGAGATTGTTAGCTGCTTTGAGACTCCTTCGGGTAGTGATAAAGCGGGATATCAAATCTAAACTCTTCTTCTTCTTCTTCTTCTTCTTCTTCTTCTTCTTCTTCTTCTTCTTCTTCTTCCTGGGGTTCATCATCCCTGCTCCAGAGCATCCACCAAATCAAAAAATGTAATAGATGCTGCTGCTGGCCAGATGAGTAGGTGTTAATGAGTGCTCTGGTTCACTGTGGTTTTCTTATCATAATGTTTTGGTGCACTGTTAGCTTCAGCTGCTGCAGCGGCCACAGTGAGATGAACTCGCCTGCACATTGGCAGCCAAGCTCTGAGGCATGTCTCTGCTGCCTGGCAGAACATTCAGTGCATCCATCAAAATGCCTGCAGCTTCCACTTCGAAGCAGGTGGACTGGTCACAAATATCCAGTGGAGACAGTGAAAGATGTCGAAGCTGGAAATGAAGCGGGCCGTGATGCAAAGCATCTCGGTTTCTCCCTGAGGTTGTTCAGAGCAGCCATGCTGGTTGTGACCAAAGGTGTACCCGGGTCCAGAAGGGATGCAGCCCCAGTAACATGTTTCAAAAAGTGACCAGCTGGATGCAGTAAATGCTTCTGAATACCAGTTGCTAAAAAACAGAGGAGGGCAGAGTGCTCTTTTTTTTAAAAAAAAATTGCATTTTCAAAAACAGGATCAGACAGCATATTTAACCCCCCCCCTGCTAAGCTATGTATTTGTTTATACTGGTTCTTAAAATATTCAGCTAACATTATCCCTTCCTACTTACATTCCTTATCTTCATTTTCTCTTATCCTGTTCGTCAGACCAGCCAGTTCAGCACATTCAAACATTTTGCACTGCCATTCTTCCTTACTGGGTACTATCCTTGTTCTCCACTTTTGTGCCAATATGGTTCTAGCTGTGGCGGTGGCATATAGTAATAAACTCTTTTGGTTTTTTGGGGACCTCCATTGTTACCATCCCCAAGAGGAATATCTCAAGCATTTTGGGGAAAGTTTAAGTATCTTTTAAAATCCATTATATATAATAATAATAATAATAATAATAATAATAATAATAATTTATTTGTACCCCACCCATCTGGATCTGGCTGGGTCTCCCCAGCCACTCTGGGCAGCTTCCAACAAAGATCAAAAATACATTAAAATGTCACACATTTAAAACTTCCCTGAACAGGGCTGCCTTCAGATGTCTTCTAAATGTCAGGTAGTTGTTTATCTCTTTGACACATCTGATGGGAGGGTGTTCCACAGGGCGGGCACCACTACCTAGAAGGCCCTCTGCCTGGTTCCCTGTAACCTTGCTTCTCACAGTGAGGAAACCACCAGAAGGCCCTGGGAGCTGGACCTCAGCGTCCGGGCAGAACTATGCCTCAGAACCTGCTATGTTCATGAGGACATGGGCCCCCTCTGGCTCTGGTGATGGGTCCTGCTGCTCTGGTTCCTGTGCACTGCCCTTCTCCCTGCCATCTTCCATTGCTCTGTGAAAACTTTCTACACCAACTTCTCCTTCTCCATCCCCATTCCTATCTTGCCCCAGTGTGTCCCAGTCAGAGCTACACCCCTCGCTGAGATCCTCTTCTTACTCCCTGTTGTCCTGCCAGTTTGTGACATCAGGTCACTTAGCCAACTTTAAGCTGAAGGAGTAAAACCACTAGGACAGAATCCCTGGTAGATTGACCATCCAGCCACTGCTTAATAAGCTCTAATAGAGGAGAGTCCACCACTTCTCAAGATATCAGATACACGTCCTTTTCACTCCCTGCTACCTGAACTTTTCAACAAGAAGCCAGGGATTCAGTTGAGGAGCTTCTGAGTGCAAAGGACACGCGTACCTATGGGACCGCCTCTCCTGGTATGTCCCACGGAGGACCTTACGGTCTGCAGACAAAAACATCTTGGAGGTCCCAGGCCACAGGGAGGTTAGGCTGGCCTCAACCAGAGCCAGGGCTTTTTCGGCCGTGGCCCCTATCTGGTGGAACACTCTGTCACAAGAGACTAGGGCCCTGCGGGGCTTGACATCTTTCCACAGGGCCTGCAAGACAGAGCTGTTCCACCAGGCCTTTGGCCAAGGCACAGTCTGCCCCCCTCCTTCTGTAATCCTCACAGAACTCTAGCCCAATGGTGGCCATTAATTTGACTCTGAATTGATTTTAGAATGAATTGATTTTAGAATGTATTTCAATTAATAGACTGTGATTTTATGTAAACTGTGTTACTTTTACTGTTGTTAGCTGCTCTGAGCCCAGCTTCAGCTGGGGAGGGCAGGATATAAATAAAATTTTATTATTATTTATCATTATTCTTAACTTTAACCCTTATAACAACCCTGCGTAAAGTAGGTTAGCATTGTTATCCCCATATTGCAGAAGTGAGGTTGAGGCTGAGATGTAGTGACTCTCCTAAGGCCACTTAGTGAGGTCATGGCAGAGTCATGATTCCTGATTTGCTAGCTCACTCTCTTAGCCACCCTGGCTCTTAGTTATTATGATTGATTTCCATCTGGATTGTTAAGAAATGATTTATTCTTTATGAAATCATGCTCCCTAAAAAAAAAGGAAAGAAAAATGTTTTTAGCAAACCAGATTGCATGTGTACTATGTTTGAAAAGGAATTTCTAAATAGAGCACAACAGGGGAAATAATTTAAGCATAATAAAGCATATGAAATGCAACATTGTTAAGAGTGTTATCTTGATTGATGGCTTGTTTAAGCCATAGCCGTAAGAAGTGAAATGATGAGTGAATATTGATGGGCATTTTTCTAAGTGGTAACTTAACCAGGGCAAGCATTTAACAACTTCGAGAGCTGGTTGTGTCTGGATTGCCCTGCCAAGTGATGAGGAGAAGCTTACTGCACTTCTGCCCTTGAAAAGGAATTGTTGTTGGCATCTACCAGTCTCAAGAGACAATGGAGTGCACCTCTGCAGGTGAAGTCATACTGCTGGAGAATCACAGCGCCTGCTGTGGCTGCAGAGACCAGAAACTCATAGCTGCTGCTTCCCATGTTGTTTTTTCCTTTGTTAGCAGCACTGAAGTGACCTCTCTGGGATGCAAGCCCAGAAAGTGTGTATGGAGGTCTTGGGCTGCCCAGATGACAAGACCTCCCTCTTGGGCTCACTGATGTGGTGCAAAGGAAAGCAGAGCAGTACATTTGGCACCAGCTTGGCTGCAGGAATTGCCGGGTGGAGGCATACAAGGATGCCATCCAGCGTTCCCCCCCCCCCAGCTGGAGTGTACTGGAGTGAAGTTCTGGCACTTCTCAGGTGGGCACAATTGCAGGCTGGTACTCCCCCTGCCTTTATGTACTTTTGAGAGGCTCAAAACAAACATTTCAACACAAACCAGAAGCTAGCCAGAGTGTCTGAATCTATCCTTTTTTTCAGAGTATGACTCCACCTAGCTCCTAGCTAGGGACGCGGGTGGCGCTGTGGGTAAAACCATAGAGCCTAGGACTTGCCGATCAGGTCGTCGGCGGTTCGAATCGCAGCTACAGGGTGAGCTCCAGTTGCTCAGTCCCTGCTCCTGCCAACCTAGCAGTTTGAAAGCACGTCAAAGTGCAAGTAGATAAATAGGTACCGCTCCCGCGGGAAGGTAAACGGCGTTTCCGTGCGCTGCTCTGGTTCTCCAGAAGCGGCTTAGTCATGCTAGCCACATGACCCAGAAGCTGTACGCCGACTCCCTCAGCCAATAAAGCGAGATGAGCGCCACAACCCCAGAGTTATCCGCGACTAGACCTAATGGTCAGGGGTCCCTTTTTACCTTTACCTTTACCTAACTCCTAGCTGCTCCTAGCCATGATTGGTCAAGCTATGGGGAAGTGCCAATGCATATTTCCTTTTCTTCAATCCTTCTCCCATGTAGCAGTAGTGGGCTTTAAACTTTCCAATCAGGCCTCTACTGTTGCATGTGTGCACATTTTCATGAGGGTCCTTCTGGGCTGCCCTAGCCATCCGCCTGAATCTAAGAGAATGAGGGAGGTGGGTGCATTTATTTGACCCAACTCAGCAAAAAAAAAATGATAAATCACCTGAGGCCAGTGCAGTTAAATCTTTCTTCAAGGAAACAAACCACAGGCCTGGTGATCTCAGCAGCAGTTTCCATGAGGTCTTGTTCCAATGAAGTAGCCTGTCTCCACTCTGCTTCTTGGCCACCCTCTATTCCAGCCTCTACTTCAGTCTCAGAGTCAGAGTCTGAACTGCTCTCTGCCACAGCCTCCTCCTGTTCACTAAATCCTGTCACCTCTCCTGCTGCTAACACCTCCTCTTCCTGGTTTGCTCCTTCGCCTTTTGACCACTCATCATCGTCCCACCACCAGTGCCCTGGCTGTATGCCTTCTTCCCCTGGGGGTTCCCTAGGGGGTTCCCCAGCTGCTGCCTCCCACCGCTCCTCTGCACCCAGCCAGTCCACGACACAAACCCTTTAAGTACTCATAAATCACATAAATCACACAATGAAAAAATGCCCCATGTTCCCCCAATGAAGTCACACTTCTTTAGTTTAAAGGGACGGAGCAAGGTTAATTTACAGAAACTCATTATCTTTATAGCCTGTCCCCCTGATCCGGCTAATTCTATTCACCAACACATTTTCACTGGCAGATCTAATGCTCTGGATACACAAAGGCCTAATTCTCTTAGAATGGAGCACATTGGGGAATACATCAACCAATTCCAGAAGTGCAAGCCCAACCCCACAAAGACCCCCACAGGAATACCTACACACCACAAGGTTTTGCACACATCATTGTTTGCTCACTATGCAATTTGCAACCAGAGCAATGCCTTTCTCTTTACTGGGTAACTGGAAAATGAAGGACTTTGTTCCAATGCAATTCCAGCTCCAATGCAAATGGACCTGATCCTTGCCTCTTGAGTTAATCCCTGGATTGTAATGGAATTATCCACCGGTTTTTACACTTCCTGAATGTTCTGATGCATTTTGATGTTGCTTTTGATCTGAGAATTGCTTTCAGAAATGCATATTTTGAGAGAACTTGCTTTAACAAATGTACATTTAAAATAGCATTTTAATGCATATTTGCGGGTGTGCAGATTTGACCGTAGATTAATGACAAACAGGATGGAACAGACACATGAGAGAATGGGTGCAGACCAGAAATAGACTGATATGTTGAAGCCTAGTTGGCAATTTCTCTCATAAGAATGCAGATGTTTCCTCCAGTTGCTGGGCAAGTGCAGAACCTGCTCCCCAGTCATCAATCTCTGGATGATTTGAATACAGCCAACTCCCTTAGGAGGTTAATGTTCCACCAGTGATTATTATTATTTTTTTTAAATGATATTTATTAAGAATTTTAAAATTACAGGAAAAACAAAGAGAAAAAGAAGGGAAAAAAACAAAAAAACAAACAAAAGAAAAACAAACCACAATCAAACAATACAAATTGATAAAAATCAAAATCAAAAAACAACAACAAAACACATAACACATCACAATCAAAAAGCAAAAATAAGCCACAAAAATTTAAAAACAAATCCAATATTCCCAAATCCTTAACTGTCATTGCCTTATTTCATCGACCTCCTCACTCCTCCCCTTTTTTGTATTATAGTTGTTAATTATCACAGCAAATCCTTTCCATTTTTCATAATATTCTGTCATTAAATTACCTTAATCTATTTTAACCTTATCTTACTATAAAAGACCCTAAAACTTAAAACTTAGATCTTATTTATACCAATTTCTCATAACCATAACATATTCTTACATAATTCTTTTAACATTTCTGCTAAAGCCAAATAATTTCGTTCCAACATTTTTCTGACATTCATCAATTTTATAAGACAATCCTAATATATATATATATATTAATTTTCTTCCAATCTTCATCCAACGTCTCTTCCTCCTGGTCCCGGGTTTTGTCAGTCCTTTCTATCCCATCCATCTAGCTCATTAACCTGGTAATCTTATGTCCGAGGCCCTTAAGTCTCTTCCATGTCCCTTCTGCAGATCTTCTTCATATTTATACCTGTACTTTACTTTGTCTCCTGCTCCTTTCACTCATGGAAACTCCAACTTGACAGTATTTTTGTCCCTTCTCGACAAATCAGCCCCTTTTCCATAGTCCACACTAAACTCCATGTGGTATTTAAAAACATGTTTCAAAGTCCCTCCAGAGTTAAGAACCCCCACAACCCCAAACATCTCACGGCCCATTGCCAGATTTGAAAAGTCAAAACATCCCTGCATAGGGGGGTCTATCCAACCCCCCATTTCCAAACCAAACAAAACTCTATCTCTCCAAATCTGGCTTTTTCCAAGTTCATTTGTCAGATCCAACAACTCATGTTCCTGCTGGACCACAGCTCGCTCCATCTCTGACACCCGAGGTTCAGCAACATCCTCCTCCCTCATCTGATCTGTCAGAGCACACTCCTGAGTTGGTTCCTGGGTGGGTTCTATATAGTTACTCACTACCTGTTCAAAATTTCTGATCGCAACAGTCATCAAGTCCGTCTTCTCATGTAACTGTTCCAATAAGGCACTTGTTTTGCAGAAAGCACGCACCAGAGCTTCTGAATACATTGTTATACAAGGTCAGAAGTCTATTCCCACGATCTTAATCTGTTGCAGCTGCAGAGCTCCCCGGTTCAAATTTAGTAACAGTTTCACAGGCTCCCTCTAGGGGAAGAACTTCTATTTGTATCCATCTCTTTTCTTTTCTTTTTTATTTCTTTTAAAAGCAGATCTAACAACAAAGTTTCCTTTTTCAGATATTTTGTCAATATTTGTTCCTTTAAAATGTGAAGGAGAACAGTGGAATCACTATGTTTCTCTTCTTTTAACTGTCTGTCAAAGACGTTTGTCTATAGTCAATGAACTTCCCAAAAACGTCAGTCCTGACACCCTGCTCCCAGGTTCAAGACGGTGGAAAATTACTTTTCTTTACACTCTCTTCTGCAGGTTTAAACAGTTCGGAAAAATCCCCCTCTTCTCCTGCTTCCGAAGGGGTTCAACAATTTTAGATGATGAAAGTTAATCCTTTACAAACGATTTTCTGAACTCTAGTTTGCCATGTCTTTGCTTTAATCTATCTACAAGAAACGGAAGGCTGACTTCCTGTTTAGACCTTCCCGTTTCAGTGCCAAATTAAGAAGAATTTCTTAGTCCAATTTTCCTTTCTACTCACAAGTCGTTGTTTAAATAATAATAATAATAATAATAATAATAATAATAATTTATTATTTATACCCCGCCCATCTGGCTGCGCTTCCCCGGCCACTCTGGGCGGCTTCCAAAAGAATATTAAAATACTATAATACATCAAACATTAAAAGCCTCCCGAAAGTCCAATTGTCCAAATTTAAGCTACTCACGGGTAGTTGTTTTGGTAGCCAAATTGTCCCAGGAAAAAGGCAGCGCTCTCCGGCAACGGATGTGTGGCTTCGCTCCACAGAAGAAGCAGTTGACTCTCAGCACCGCGCCACTTACCCCTCTTCGCTCCGGAGCCCGTAACTGGGTTCCTTTACGAGTTGGGGGGGCGCAAAAGGTGCCCGCCGAGTCCCATGGTCACAGGCTTCATCCACCTGTGATTTTTCAAAGGGTCCCCGCTTCGCCGTAGCGGGAAAGACCCGTTTTCCGTGGAGCCAGTCCCTCCGGATCAGAGGGAATCTGCCATTACCGATGGCGCCACCCCGGAAGTCTCCACCAGTGATTTTAAAGAAAGATCACTATTGGATAATTGTTAGGAGAGAACTTCATAATTCTATGAGTAACCCAACTCATTCAATGGAGTTCCCTCCCTTGGAGCAAATCCAGGGAAAGTTAGATTGTCATCTATATGGTTTGCAATACTGAACATCTTATGCTTGAAGATTTAACCAGGTGATTCCTTGAATTCATCCTATCGATGTCCAGATTCCCCCAAGCAGACCTGATTTGACACAGGACTCATCCACAGCTGTACTTCCTAGATCATCCTGCCAAGTGATATTGAGTATGTTAGCTTCCCCCAGATTTCTAATCAAGGTGCAGATGTGTCCAAATTATCCTCATGATGCAGCAGAAAGAGGACTTGGTTTCCTACTTGCAACATTCACGCCAGTTTTTGATAAATGATCCTTCTATATTCATCCCTTTCTACTGGGCTGAGGGCCAAACTAGACATGACTTGGCCGGCCAGCCGCAATTATATTTTTCTCATGTCTAAAATGGTGCTTGAGCATTGCAGAGAGCTCTAATTCTTACACCTTACTGGCTTTAGAGTAAGGGGACTTAACCATCCACCAAGCTAACTTCCCCATCTTCAAGCATTTTCCTCCTAGCCTGGTTTGCAAGTGGTCTTGGAACATAATTTGGAGGCACTGGAGGCCCTTTCTGTTGGGAAGGGTCCATAGTAGAGTTTAGCATGCAGAAAGTCCCTGGTTCAAACCCTGACATCTTCAGCTAAGGGACCAGGCAGAAGGTAATTCTCTACCTGAAAGCCTAGGAAGCTACTGACAGCTAAGTTGTCACGGTCCGGTTTATGGGCGGTCGATGACCTGGCTGAGGACGTCGGGACCGGGGGCAAGATGGCGGGGTGGGAGCAGGAACGGGAGTCCAGAAGCCAGGGGTCTGAGGATCAGGAAGAAAGGAGGCACAAAGTCAAGGGTCCGAGGGTCGAGAAACAAGGAGTCAAGAAGCCGAGGTCCAAGAATCAGGAAGCAAGAAGCCAAACACAGCAAGGCAGGAAGCGTGTTGCTGCGGCAAAGAGCCAGAGGGAAATGCTGACCTTATATCCCTTCCTGGCTCTTGCCACAAGGTACAGTGAGTTACCAAGTGGCCTCACCGTGCCTTGACTTTCCAGAACAAATTTAGGAAGGCCCCAGTCCTGCAAAGCCCTACTGGTCACAGGGCCCAGCTCCTGCACACACTCCTGACATAAGTATGGACAATATTGGGCAGGATGGTGCACTATATAGTCTAATCCAGTGGTTCTCAAACTTTTTCAGGCCACCACTCCCTTAGTTCCCCAGTGCCCCCATGCTCCACCCTATAAAAAAATATTAATCACTATAGCAGTCTCTGCATGACCCACTATCTGTTGGACATTTATTCAAAATGCAATTAAAACTTTTTAGTTTAATCAATTACACAAAATTAATGAACTTGCTCCAGGGATACCAACTTTTCAATGTTGGACAGTCATTTACACCTCCAATAGCCCCCTGCCACCCTCTTGCCTCCTAGGACGCCTCCCCACACCCCAGTAATTCCTTCTTTTTCATATAATTTTTTAATTAATTTTCAATAAAAGCTGTACATAACAAACATAACACATTCAACATTAAAAAGGCGTTCTTTTGAACCTCCAGATCTCCTTCCTTCCCTCCATGGGTTCCAATTCTGGATTTTATTCCTGCCTCTTTTACTGTAATCTATCTATTATATAATTATAGTATCCAAAATTCATTTTACTTTCCAAGTGTCATTGTATTCCTGCCAATGATTTCAACTGTTTATAGTAGTCCCTCAGATATATTAAAAAGTTACTCCAGTTTTTTAAGAATACTTGGTCTTCCTCGTTTTTGATCATTCCCGTCAGTCTTGCCATTTCTGCATATTGCGTTAGCTTGGTCTGCCACTCTTCTCTGGTCTTCTCAGCAATGGCTCCAACCTGGTGGAATGCTCAGTCCCATGAGACTAGGGCCCTTCAGGATTTAACCTCCTTCCATTGGGCCTGTAAGACAGAGCTATTCCACCTGGCTTTCAATTTGAACTTAGTCTGATCTTTTATTCCCCTTCCTTCCTCCCTCTCCCCTTTTTATGAAGATTACCCACTCTGGGATCCCACAGCTAATTCTCCCCTGTCTCCTAGCTGGCCCAAATAGGACTAATTTAGCCAGCTAGCCCTGGTGATCATTTAATGTTTATTGGATGGATTTCCCCCCTAAATTGATTTTTGAATTCTGAATTTATTGTTATTCACGTTTTATACTGTATTTTATGCTGTTCTTTGTTGCATCAATTAAGTGTTTTAAATTTGTTGTTGGCCGCCCTGAGGAAGGCAGCCAACAACATATACCCCGGGAAGGGCGGGGTATAAATAAAAAAATATTATTATTATTATTTCCATCTCTTGGCTAAAAGCACCGCCCCCCCGGTAATTCCACTGCCTTCCAAGCAGCAGTACCACCCACTTTGAGAATCACTGGTATAACCTGAAATAAGGCAGCTTCATATCTTCCAATGACTGCAGGGACGTAAGATGTGAATAAGACTGATACATGAAGGACAACCCTTTGCTGCCTCCGTAACATCTACTGAGTCACCAGACCCTGTGAGACTATCTATGGCTCCCTCCAGACTCATGTGTGTATGTGTGGGGTGGGTTGTATGCGCATTCTGAAACAGGTCATTGATGCAATAATATTGCATTAGTGGTGGACCATCCACACATCATTTTGCTTGATTAGTTGCTATGCGATGCTTCCCCAATGTAACTGTGTTATTGCGGTCAGGAGGGGCACATGTGTGCAACAGAGCAACAATAGCGGGACACAGGTGTATCAATGTTTAGGGGCTCCAGTGCACAGTGTGTGCATGACATCATGCGTGCAATGCCGACAGATTTGTTGCGCATTGCGTGTCACAGCTTCGGTGGCCAGTTCCTCCAGAGTGCCCGGCCTCCTCCAGGCAATGCAATATTGTGTGCACGCACCCTCAATCTCAGGGGCAACTTGGCACCTCTGGTGGGACAACCTCATCTCCTGCCCAAACAGTTGTGGTATGAAGAGCTACAGGGTTTCAGCAGGAAGCTACAGGTCAAGCACTGATTGGAAATGAAGCAGTATGTCTGCCCCCAAAACTCTGCAGGTTCAAACAGTATGGAAAGCAGGACTGCATCAATCTATCCCAATACCCTCATGAATGCAAAATAGAAAAAGGACCTCTGCTGTGGCCATATGGCTCCCCATTGACAAAACACCCTTATTAGTAGACTGCATAAACTTCTACCCCTGTGTATTCTACAGCTCTCCATGAGTTTTTGTTCACTGCTATCGCCACCATTAAACTCTGCACATAAAATTTGTAGCTGGTAATTATGGGTTTGCTGTTTATGGACCTTCCAAGGTGAGGAGAGGAAACCATGGCTTGTCAAAGCTGTGATACAAATCAGAGGCCCAGTACAATAAAGCAATTTTTATAAACAGAGCAACACACTCCATCTTTGAGAGTGCCCACTGCTCCGTCAGAGTGTGTTCTGCCTTTGGGAAGTGTGCTATCATGTTTGTGCAAGTCAGAGAGAGAGAGAGAGAGAGAGAGAGAGAGAGAGAGAGAGAGATGGGCTACAGTTGCTACCAAGTAAAATCCCCTCCCATATTGAAGTGATTTTACCCATAAGGAAGACCTTCTGTAAGGGGGCATCTCCATTGGGCTTGGACTGCTGAGAAGCTTGCTGTGGCCTTGGATGGGAACCTTAGATGGTGGCTGAAGCTCAGATCCATCATGCATTGCTGCCCCTCCCTCTGATTTTATGACAAGTTGATCTCTGAGTTAACATTGGGTAATCGGCTGGGATTATTGTTATTGCTTCACTGTATGAGAGATGCGGTGTAGTGGTTTGAGTGATGGGTCCAAATCAGCACTCAGCATGAAGTTCATGGGTGACCTTGGGCCAGTCCCTTCCTCTCAGCCTAGCCTACCTCACAGGGTTGCTGTGAGGTTTAACAAGGATGGGGACAACCATGTAAACTCCTTAGAGGAAAAAAGAGATGGGGATATGAATGCAGTAAGTAAATAACTCTAAATATATAAGTGCTAGGAAACCAAGCCTGGCAGCAGTTTCTGCAGAAGACAGAGGTTCAATTGAGGATACACAGATAAGCATCTTCTCCCCCACTCGCCCACCTCCAATTGCCTTCATCACATCCAAAGATGGGAGAGAGGTAGGGAGAGAGAGAGAGGCAGAGACACAGAAAGAATAGCGTCTCAGCTATGGCTCCACTTCCAACTAAGCCAAAGGCCTGCTCTTTTTCTGACGGTTCCCCCTTCCAGACAAGAAATGGTGAGAGATGTCACTGCTCGACTGACTGGCATGCAAAACACCCGGCACACTGCCAGCGCAAAAGACTCAACCCAAAGAGGTTAAGGAGAAGAACACAAGAGCTCGCTTGTTCCTGGTTTCTTTCAGGGGTGTTTGAAATTCAGCAGTGACTGGTGCTGGAGAACGGGTCCTAACAGCGGCACTTTCTCAGTCGGTCCACATGAATAGGGGAAGGGGAATGAAAAATTAGAAGCAAGCGAGAGAGAGAGAGAGAGAGAGAGAGAGAGAGAGAGAGAGAGAGACCTCATTCCCCTTGCAGGCAGGGCTGTTGAGGAGGGCAATTTGCATGCATTCCAAGGAAAGCTGTTGTAAGGCTTTCTAGCCCTGATGTTGGAGAAAGGCTCCAGGTCTCAAGTGAGACCATTGCATGAGGTCTTAGTGGCACCATGTGAGGGGTTTATGCAGCTCTGCCAAGGATAAGAAAGGGGCAAGGAGAGTAGCTCAACTTACTCTAATGTCATGTTCCATTCAACAAAGTACAATGGTGGTGTCAGCTGCGTTCCATTGCTGACAGAGGGGGAGAGTGTGGAGAGACAGGTGGGGGGAATTAGGCAGGAATTAGGCAGGGGGGAGGAGCAGCCAATTCACAGTAGAAGCCTGAGTGCCCAGAACAAGGAGAAGGGAGGGGGGAGTTCAAGGGAGAAGATGCAGACTGACAGCTGTAGCTCAGACTTGGGGGGGGGAGCTACCGGGAATTGCCCATGCCCAGGTGTGTAGACTCACAAAGATATATATATGTATATATATATATATATATATATATATATATATATATATATATTCGGTCCTGTATACCTGAAGGAGCGTCTCCACCCCCATCGTTCAGCCTGGACACTGAGATCCAGCGCCGAGGGCCTTCTGGCAGTTCCCTCATTGCGAGAAGCGAAGTTACAGGGAACCAGGCAGAGGGCCTTCTCGGTGGTGGCGCCCGCCGTGTGGAACGCCCTCCCACCAGATGTCAAAGTGAACAACAACTACCAGACTTTTAGAAGACATCTGAAGGCAGCCCTGTTTCAGGAAGCTTTTAATGTTTGATGTATTACAGTATTTTAATATTTTTTTGGAAGCCGCCTAGAGTGGCTGGGGAAACCCAGCCAGATGGGCGGGGTATAAATAATAAATTATTATTATTATTATAATGAAAGGCGTGAACAGGAAAGGGAGCGTAAGTGGGGCTGTAAAAGTGGGAGGAGGAAAGGGCGTACCTCAGACTCTGCAACAGCAAACTTGGAAGCCGACGCTGAGTGACTGAGCTCCAGAGTGATTTATGTGTTTTGAGCAATGAAACCTGTGTTAATTGCTGCCAGCGTTGTCTTGCTTCTGTGGGAGAGACCCAACAGTAACAGGTTGTTTTCTGCTGCTCCAGAGAAGCGGACACGGAGCAATGGATCCAAACTACAAGAAAGAAGATTCCACCTAAACATTAGGAAGAACTTCCTGACAGTAAGAGCTGTTCGACAGTGGAATTTGCTGCCAAGGAGTGTGGTGGAGTCTCCTTCTTTGGAGGTCTTTAAGCAGAGGTTTGACAACCATATGTCAGGAGTGCTCTGATGGTGTTTCCTGCTTGGCAGGGGGTTGGACTCGATGGCCCTTGTGGTCTCTTCCAACTCTATGATTCTATGATTCTAGGTGGGTTCTGGATCCAACAACTGAGTTTGTATGCATTTCATTACAGCGGTACCTTGTGTTAAGAACTTAATTCATTCTGGAGGTCCATTGTTAACCTGAAACTGTTCTTAACCTGAGGTACCACTTTAGCTAATGGGGCCTCCTTCTGCCACTGCACCGCCACCGTGCGATTTCTGTTCTCATCCTGAAGCAAAGTTCTTAACCCGAGGTACCATTTCTGGGTGGGCGGAATCTGTAACCTGAAGCGTCTGTAACCTGAGGTACCACTGTATTCCCAGACCTACCTGGAGATTAAATCCAGGACCTTATGCTCTGCTACTGAACTATGGCCCTTTCTCCATATTATGGAGGAATATATTTTGTTTTACTATAAGGGCTGACAGTTCATACATCATTGCTGCCTCCTCCTTCTCCTCCTCCTCCTCTTATATGTATACCTCTGCTTTGAAGTACCCAATGCAATGTACCACCAAGTGAGGACAAAATTCTTTCCTCACACAAACATTTCATACCAAGCACTGATTAGAAAGCCAGGGATGTGTCAATCATCATACAAATCAGATTTGTCCCTGCGTGATGGACATGTGAAGAAGGCTTGGGTTCTGCTGGCTGAAGCTTGCGCCTGCCTTTTGCGGGGGGTCGGGTGGTGGTGATGGAAGAGGAGGACTTTCAGAGGTACAGAAATGCTAGGAGTCCAATCTGGGATCCTAAGAACTTGCGGTCTCCAGGCAGTCATAATCACTTATCTTCTTGGAAATTAACCTGTCTGACCTTTCTCAGAGAAGAGCAAGCCAGCAAAAGGAAACAGTTTCTTGATTCTGAGCAGGAGCGACCTGGCAGCCAGCTCAGATGCAAAAAAAAAAAAACCCACCACCTCCAAGGAAAACAGCCTGCCTTGGATTGCTGGCAAGAGAAAAGAGATCGTCCAAGTCTGCATGGGGAGGACATTGTCCTTTGTCAATCCATTTTTGGCCTCCTGTTCAGCAGTGCTAATTGCAAGGCTTAAATAGCCCTTGCAAAACATCACCTCATTAAAATGCTGAATAGACTTCTTAGACAGTTCTTCATTATCCCCAGGGTCAGAACCAGAACTGCAGCTTGAGTTCCTATGCACAGCAGTGAATGTGTAATAATCCCTCTGAATACCTAAGATTGAATGTATGCATCTTAGTTGTGCAATTGCTCTCCTAGTGGCCAGGGGACCATTTGGGTACTGTAAGACTCTGGGGTACATGACTAGGGACACATTGAACAGAATGAGCAGGAAGATCTCCCTCCAAACACTGCAGGGCTATTTGCCACATTTTGGGATAAGTGAAGTGATGTATGTTGTTGTTGTTGTTGTTGTTGTTGTTTAGTCGTTTAGTTGTGTACAACTCTTTGTGACCCCATGGACTAGAGCACGCCAGGCACTCCTGTCTTTCACTGCCTCCCACAGTTTGGTCAAACTCATGCTGGTAGCTTCAAGAACACTGTCCAACCATCTCGTCCTCTGTCGTCCCCTTCTCCTTGTGCCCTCAATCTTTCCCAACATCAAGGGTCTTTCCCAGGGAGTCTTTTCTTCTCATGAGGTGGCCAAAGTCTTGGAGCCTCAGCTTTAGGATCTGTCCTTCCAGTGAGCACTCAGGGCTGATTTCCTTCAGAATGGATAGGTTGGATCTTCTTGCAGTCCACTTAAGAGTCTCCTCCAACACCAGAATTTAAAAGCCTCAATTCTTTGGCGATCAGCCTTCTTTATGGTCCAGCTCTCACTTCCATACATCACTACTGGGAAAACCATAGCTTTCACTATACGGACCTTTGTTGGCAAGGTGATGTCTCTGCTTTTTAAGATGCTGTCTAGAAGAGCACCATCTAAAGAGCTATCTTTAGATCTAAAGAGCAACTCCCTTGTTTCCAGTAATAACACAACCCCAGAGACTGAAATACCCTACTTGCACCACAGCTGGAAGGATAGATTAAGGTTCCTCATCCCTGCTGCTTTATTCTGTGGGCCAGGCTCTCTGGTACCTCATGCAACATATGGGTTGGTGCTCAGTGCTAAAGCACATATTCTGTGCATGCAGAAGGTCCTGGTTAAGTCCCAGGCATCTCCATTTAAAACCATGAGGCAGCAGGTTGAACAGCTGTTGGGAATCACTGTGATATAGAATAGGCAATACAGCGCTAGAGTCTGACCAGGGCCGGATTTAGGTTTGATGAGGCCCTAAGCTACTGAAGGTAATGGGGCCCTTTATATGTCCAGCTGTCCTTTGTCAACAACAAATTGTCACTGTTTTTTGTGTTGAATATATGCTATATGGTAATTTATGGACCTAATAGGTATCTAAAGCCAGTATCTAAACACTGTTGCTGTATGTAGGTTTTGTTTTATTTGTTTTTTTATCTTATATTTCGAAATGTACATCCAGTTTGATTTTCCCTTAAAAAATTTTTGGGAGGCCCAAGAGAGTGGGACCATAAGCTATAGCTTGTTTAGCTTATATGTGAATCCGGCATTGAGTCTGACCTGGTATAAATCAGATGGCAGATTGGGAGTGGTGGTAAAACGTTGGAGGAAAGAGCTATGTGTGTGACCTTGCTTGATCTGTTCCCTCTCAACTAGCCTATTACCCTGAGAGAGAGATATGCACCACTTTGACTGTTGCGGCTTCCCCCAAGCCACTCTGGAAATTGTGGCACTGTGGGTTAAACCACAGAGCTTAGGACTTGCTGATCAGAAGGTCAGCAGTTCGAATCCCCGCAACAGGGTGAGCTCCCGTTGCTTGGTCCCTGCTCCTGCCAACCTAGCAGTTCAAAAGCACGTCAAAGTGCAAGTAGATAAATAGGTACCGCTCTGGTGGAAAGGTAAACGGCATTTCCTTGCACTGCTCTGGTTCGCCAGAAGTGGCTTAGTCATGCTGGCCACATGACCCGGAAGCTGTACGCTGGCTCCCTCGGCCAATAAAGCGAGATGAGCGCCGCAACCCCAGAGTCGGCCACGACTGGACCTAATGGTCAGGGGTCCCTTTACCTTTACCATAAGGATTCTATATTCCTTAAACCAAGAGTAGCCAACATGGTGACTTCCACAAGTTGTTGGACTACAGCTCCCATCATTCATGTCTATTGTCCATCTTGGCTGGGGCTGATGGAAGGCTCCATGCTGGCTACTCCTTTCTTACACCATAGTGTCAAAGTCCCCAGTGTTCCCTGTGGAGGGAGAAATGAGTGGAAAACCAAGTAGAGATTTGTCCTTATATGTACCATTTGAGTCCAAATATATATGCTCAGTGGTCTGTCATTTAACTGCCCAGTTATGCTGAGAAAGGATGATATGCTGTCAGGATTATGTATGTGAGAGTGCACACTTATGTCCAACATGCATAGATGAGGTCAACCCAGGTTAGACTCCGCTGCATCACTCTGTGAAGTGAAGAAGAAATGACCTTGTTCTGCTGGTGCCATCGTCAGTTAAAGGAGACAAAGGAGGTCCATAAATGCCTGCCTGCTTTCAAATTATACTTACCCCCCTCTGCTGACTTACACATCAAACAATGTGATGCCCATCATTGATTTATTGGGTCTGGCTGGTAGATTGGAGGCTGTAAATGGGCTATCTAGCTTTTAAAAGGGGTTGAATGCTGAGCGTTAAAGAGGACATCTGATCTGAATTGGAGATGGGCTGTGAAAAAGAGATACAAGTGAGCTGTTTCAAACCTCCGCTCACCCCAGCCTCACCCTGTGAGCTTTTGGAAAATTAAGTGACAAGCGAAACCAGAAAAAAACAGGTCTGGGGGACAAGAAGAGTCATCTTGATAGATCAAACCCTCAGCAAGAACAAAGGATGCTGTGCGCTTGTGCTGACAGCTGGGTGGAGTGGTAGGGGGTTGAAGAAACATCTCTGTGCCTTGTTCTGCAAAGGGTAAGAGGATGAGCAATTCATAAGGAGAGATGGCCTGTTGTCGTGTCAAGTGTAGACTAAGGTGGAAAAAGCCAGAAAAAAAAACCCATAGAAGTGTTGCCAAAAGATAAAAGACAAGAAGATCAGCCGTCCTCCAAATAATTGTGCTTGGAGGAGCATCATTGAAAACGACCACTCGGGAGCCCATGAATTTTTCAAGTGGGTTCAACAAGGAGATTTTGATTGAAGGGCTTATGCTTCCAGTTGGGAAGCAGTGTGCTATTCTTGCCCATGGGAGACCACAAAGCAAATATGGGAACCAGACCTGGATCCTCTGGGTGGCCTATGGCAAGTCATGCTTGGAGCGTAAACTGATGGGGACCACCATGGTTCAGTGGTAGCGCATCTCCCTTGCATAAAGAAGGTCCCAGGTTCGATCCATGGTGTTTGCAGGGAATGCTGCTGGCTGAAATCATGGAGATCTGCTGCTGGGCAGTGTGTACAAACTTAGACTAATCAGTGGTCCAACTCAGTACAAGGTAGCTTCCTATGACGAACTCAATGTACTGTTATGCTCATCCAACTTCTCCAAGCAGTCAAAAGTTCCAGGGATGCAGCACTCTGGATTGCGTTTGGAAGGAAGTGACAGGAGACATATGATGTTTTGCAGTATATGTGTTTACAGTGTTTACAAATATACAGGTGGGTCATAGGCAGAGGCAGAACTCCCAACACTCCAACAGACAATCATATCCATTGTTTTACATCAGTTCTCCAGAGTGAGCTGGTCCTCCCATAGCATGCAGCTCAGGTCCCCATTGGAATTTCTTTGCACCAAATTCAAAAACTGTTCTGTTTCTCAGGCTACATTGCCCTCAGCTAGAGGATGGGAGAAACTCTGCTAAGACTAAATGAAGAACCATCTGTCAAGAGCAATCATCCAGCAGTTAGTGCCTACGAAGACCCAAATATCCTAGTCTGTTAATACCTCCCTTGTCCAAGACTCTGGCTGGGTATTGTCTTAAGGCAGGAACAGGGCAGTCTGGAGTCCCAGGCACAAAGGAAGACAAAGCAAGCTATGATCAGAACCTTGGAGAGCAACCAGGCAGGTATCAGGACCATGAATAGTAATCTCACAGTTTAGGCAGAATTGTCTCAGCAGTGCTGTGGAGCAACTGGCAGATCTTTGTAGCCTGGACTAAGTGTCCACTGACTAGATTCCCCATCTCCTGAATGATGCATTTGGTTATTGAAAGATCTGGTGTCTTCCTATGCAACTGTGTGTTCTCCAAGGCCCTGGAGTTTCAAGCTATGTGAATATTTTCTCAGAGCTCTCATCCACCATGGAGTTTGTGGGTCAATTGAAGGCTGGTGTTTCCCCGGGGTTCAGGCAAGGAGATGTGAGCTATGGACCAGGGAGTAGACCCCTTTGATCCTTGGGACTGCCATTCTTTGATGAATCTGTCTCTGGGAAATCATGCTCTAGGGTTATGACACTGCAACTCTTGAGCAGAGTCACCCTTTCTTGCTTGGGGAACCTAGTGAAGTTTTGAGAAAAACCAGGGATCAGGATCCATGGGAACTAAATCTCCCATGAGCCTTTGAGACATGTTACTGCCACAACCTTCCCTATTGTAAGGTTTTTTCACCTTTAAGTAATGATAGGGAAAATGAAGGGATGGTGAGAAGGCCCAATCAGCAGGAGTAATGATGGTTCAGTCCATTCCAAGTTGATTCTGGGATTTTTTGCCCATCCCTACTGATGCAGTGCATCTTTGCTTCGGAAGCAAGGCTGGAAGTCTGGTGTTAATTTCTCTTTCTTTCAGATCCTCTCATGCCTGAGGCTGAGGAATTAGGAGCCATTATCCTTTATGCCTCGCATCACACAGATGCTATTATATGCACATAAAGAGTAGCACTGAATCTTAGTTGCAGACCAAACTTCTCCTGTCTCCTCCTGATGATAACCCACAAGCAGAGATTGCACCACCCCTTCTCTTATTTGATTGAACTTTGGCTGTTGGGCTGTTTGACACGATGCTAGCCACACTGAGCTGTTAGGGGTTCCGAAATTTTTCATATCAGTGCATCGGACAAGTACACACTCAGGAATAACATTGGCAAAGGGGATGTTTGCTCCTGAAAGTCAGAGAAATACTAACACACTGTGTTCTGGGGCAGGGCTGGGGGGGCAAGCAAGGATGGAATATTACAGATTTCAACCTTGGAGGGCACAGAGCAGCCAGAGGGGAGGAGACTCTCAACAGCCGGTGGGGAAATGTGCTGTCAGTGCATGTCCCACTGAAGGACACAGAGAACGATAAGGGCCCACGAGAGATGGGACACAGGAATTCCTGGCTCAGCTCCAACGGATGACCCTGCTGTTCTCAGAAAGTACATCTAAAACTGCAGTTTGAACACAGGGGAAGAAATCAAGCCTGAGGGTTGATGGTCTTGTTTTTCCTTGGCCTCTGGCAAAATGTACCGTAGAATTGTTATTTATTTTTTTCCAGACCCCAGGAGAATCTGGCTAGCCCTGGAAAATGTTGTTGCTATGCATTGCTTATAGAAAATCACCAGCATACATGGTGTTTAAAAGACTATCGAGCAGAAAAGACAGTTTCTTTGTAAGTTTACAGTGTGAATTTCTAAAGAGGAGGAGACAAAGGGTGATTGTCAAGGGAGGGACAACTGTGAAAGAGGAAGCACAGCTAAGCTAAGGTCTAGTCATGACTATCTCACTTCGGCGGGTGGAGGAAGGGCTGACATTAATGCCTGTTCCTCCATACATCAATATTCCCTGCACTCAGAACTTTGGCAGATAATTGAAGAATCTAGAACTCTTCTCCATGACATGCTAGCTTTCTCATTAGAGGGAGCTGTTGGTTTGGAGGAACATTCCATCACTTGAGCTTCCACCCTTAGTCTGAAGTGGTTCAATCCAGACACAAGGCGACTTACATCAGTATGGCATTTAGGTCTTCATTTTTATACAGCAGGGTTTCCCAAACTTGGGTCTCTAGTTGTTTTTGGACTGCAACTTCCATCCTCCATAGCTAGCATGACCAGTGGTCAGGGATGATGGGAATTGTAGTTTGAAAACATAGTGACTTCAGGTCAGGGTTTGGCAACTGTACATGTAACACTGCACAAAGCTAAGAGCCACATCAGTTGCTCCTCTACTCTTGTCTCTGGCCAAAGCCACCATGCTGCGGGGTCCCTAGAAGGTAGCCCACATGGGAATGTGGTTCTCAGGTTGAAAGAAATCCCCTTCCTCTAAAATATAGAATTTGTGACCCCTCTTATATAGGATATAGATGGATAGCAGTCTGAATGTGATCCCAATTGGACTTTTCCACCGTGTTGTCCATTTGAATACAAGCAAATGAGGCTGTTAAACAATTTCAGACTCAGAAAAAAGCAGGGAAGACTATTTAAGCATAACTATGAAGTCTGAGCAAAATGTTTCTTCTTTGGCCTCTCTCGGGAAGCAAAAGTGACAGACCATGATTAACTTATGAAGGAGCAGCATTAAGCCAAGAGAGTCATCGTGAAAATGGGTCCTAGCGGGAGATGAATTTTTTAACAGGTTGGCTACATTAGAATATTAGCTGGAGCTTCATTGGGAGATACAAACTGCCTCACCTCTTTGACTCACTGCTAAATAACACACGTACCAGGGCTTAAAGAGAAGGGTATAACTTCAGAAGAGTACCGATGTCAGGCCCCATCTGCACTGGAAACTTAAATCATTCCACTTCACACAATCATGACTTTCCCCCATAGCATCATGGGAACTGTAGTTTCTTAAGGGTGACAAGAGTTGTTAGGAGACCCCCTATTCCCCTCACAGAGCTTCAGTTCTCAGCATGGTTTAATAGACACTCTCTCTTCCTGTAGAAGTTCAGTTCTTAAAATTGGACATGTTTTTTCATGTCTCCTCACTTTCAGAGGCCTTAGGGGCCCTTCCCTACAGAATGTTCCAGAAATATATCAATTTGCTAAGAAATGCAATGAGTCTTGCCAGTTTCAGGAATGTCTCCTGTGAGAAAGGAATGAAAATGCCAGAAATGAATGGGAGGAAGTAAATGAAAGGATTTCTATTCCGTTTCCTCTTTCATTTTTCGTTCATTCATTTTGTGAGAATGTAAGAGCATAAGACGAATCTGCTGGATCAGGCCAATGGCCCATCTAGTCCGGCATCCTGTTCTCACAGAGGCTGACCAGATGACTTTGGGAAACCTGCAAGCAGGACCAGAGTCAACAAGCCCTCTATTCTCCTCTATTCCAGAAACCATCATTCAGAAACTTTGCTACCATGGAGTCAGAGCATAAACATCATGGCTAGTAGCCAATGATAGACTTACCCTCTATGAATTTGTCTAATCTTTTAAAACCATCCCAGTTGGTGGCCATCACTATATCCTGTGGGAATGAATTCCATATTTTAACAATATGCTGTACGAAGAAGTGCTTCCTTTTATCTGTCCTGAATCTTCTGGCCTTCAGCTTCACTGAGTGTCCTCAAGTTCTAATGTTACGAAAGAAGGAGAAATGCTTTTCTTTGCCAACTTTCTCCATGTTAGGTATCATATGGACTTCCATCATGTCACCTTTTCTCCAAACTAAATACACAGCAAACCATTCTTCATTGGGGAGTTTCTCCACCCCACCCCACCGATATCATCTTTGGTTGCCCAGATCCAAACCTTTTCCAACTCTACAATAATCCCTTTTGAGGTGAGGTGATCAGAACTGTAGACAGCACCATAGACAGCATTGTCCATATAAACATGGGATAAATGAATGAGGGTGCATTCATTTCTCTTTAAAAAAAGACAAGAAAGAAACCCCCATTTATTTTCTGCCATTATTCTCAGTTCTCATAGTATTAATAGCCCCTTTCTCCTGAGACCCAAGAACGGTGTCTGAGAGGCTGGTGTGGCTGCTGCTTGCTGAGTGCTACCTGGTGGGGAAAGAATATGGCAGCATGTGGCTTGGTCAGGAGTTGGGAGATCCTGTCTGCATTTGGTGTTTCAGGAATATGTCTGAAGAGCAGGGTGGAATCTAGGAAGTTGACGGTTCATCCAGATTTCCTTTAGCGCCATGCTTTCTAGGCACAGGCTTGCATTAGAGCAGCCTTTCTCAACCTTTGGGTCTCCAGATGTTGTTGAACTACAACTCCCATCACCCCTAGATAGCAAGGCCAGAGCTCAGGGATGATGGGAGCTGTAGTCCAACAACATCTGGGGACCCACAGGTTGCATTAGAGGGATTTTTTTTTGTCTTGCCTCTTTCCCCAGGAAAACCCACTATTTACTACTGAATCAGAACAAACAAGAATCAAGTTTTCCATTGACCTGTGCTTGGAAAGTGTGGTGAAGAAGGAAATCTGGATGAGCTCCAAATCAGACCATTTGTCTATCTAGCTCAGTACTACAAGTGCCTACACTGACTGGCAATGGCTCTCCAGGGTTTTGGGAAGAAAACATCCCCCAGCCCTACTTAGGAGACAGCAGGGATCGAACCTGGAACCTTCTGCATGCAAAGCAGATGCCTTGCCATTGAGCTATAGCCATTCCCTACGGCTGAGTGGGGCTAACAGCAAAAGGTCTCAAACTAAGTGCAGAAAGCCTGTCTGCTTCAACCTAGACCTCCATTTTCAATACCTTGAAAAAGAGTCTAAAACCCTGATATTTCAGGATCACCCAAATACCTGGCAAACCTAGATCTCTGTTCCTATCTGCTACCCCCAAAGCCAACGTGCCCCTCTCCTCCCCCATCTGCTGGTATAATTAAGGCGTGTGCAAGGATAGAGGAGGGATGGAGCCCTTGAAATCAGAGCTGTGTTGAAGTGGTAACATGTGACAATGCTGCCATAGCAACAGCTGGATTTCCCCATATGGAAAATGTACTAATAAGACAAGGGAGGATAAATGTTAAAAATGCACCGGGTGCATCTGAGCTTTGTTAGTGTCGTCTTGGTGATTAAAAGCGGGGTGCGTTTTGCTTTTGTTTTTACACGTTTGGAGCGAAGATCCAAGAGGGATTGTCTTCAAAGAAAAGAATGAGATTTTTTTGCAGGCATTCATCCTGGCCTTTTGTGTATATCAAACACACACAAAAACCCATGTGCATGCATGCCACACACACAAATACACCACATATATGTTGCATCAGAACAAGAACACACTTGAGATGTTGGCAATGGATATTGTGATGTGGTTACAACATAGGAGCCAACTCCTAGGAACAGAGGTTCCTTGGGGCTCCCCAATAAAATATTTGAGCAGACTGGGGGCTCCCAAGTTGATGGGCATTGCCATTCAAATGGTGTGTATGCTCTGTGTCTTATGATCAATTAGGCAGGGCGGAGCTTGCCTCCCCCCCAAATATTTTATTCAAGTTGGCAAGAAATATTCCAAATACCAGTTGCCAGAAAACCACAGGAGAATGGAATGTTCTTGTGCTTGATTCATGCTTTTGGGTTTCTCACAGGCATCTGGTCAGCCACTGTGAAAACAGGATGCTGGACTAGATGGGTCATTGGCCTGATCCAGATGGCTCTTCTTCCATGATTATGTTAACTTGAGATTTATACCACCCTTCATCCGAGGATCACTTGGCAGTTAGAATATAAGATTCATGTAAGCCAGTAGTAGGGGGAAAATCCAGTCTGAGGGCTGTGTTCCTTTGCATGGGCAACCATCCGGGGATCACAAACCAGTGGTGAATGTGGTAAAATCAGACAGGCAACCCTCTCTACCCCCACCCCCATCCAGGCAAGCAAAAGGCATCATCACACATTCCAGCCAGTAAAATCACCAAGGGAGAGTGCAGAGCAGGAAAAGTGAAAGGTGTGGGACTGGGCTGACTCTGTTCACAGGTGGAGCTGTTCTATTAGTCCTTGTTGTTGACCAATTATGTGTTCTTCCTGGCTATGAAAATCAGAATGAAAAATGCAGGTGAGACCCCATGACTCAGTGTTTTACTTGGGTTAGGTTTAATTCGTGGTGTGCTCAGTTTGGCTGCGTTTGTGTGTGTTCACCTGCTGGGAACAGCCATGGGCAGCCCAAGGACTGTTTGGAAGCCATTTTGCAAATACCCTCACGCTGCTCTTTGCAGAGGTTGCCTCCAGTCTCTGTTCCTTCATACCCACTGCCTGCCCACCCTGCCCTTTGGCAGCCCCGGATTGCTCTGGGTGGGCCAAACTGACCCAGGGTGATACAGTGCTACCTGAACCTGATGTGTCTGAAGCCTAGATCCACCGAAATCAGCCCAATTTGTTTTGGGATATGAGGTTTGCCTAGAACTGCTGTACACACCTAGTATTCAATAGGTGCTCTCTTCCCTGAATTTTCTTCTGCATTGACATCATGGCTAACAGCCGTTATGTGACCCACACTCCATGAATTTGTCCTATTAGTTTTTAAAGATGTCCATATCTACATCTTGCAGCATAATAGATCTTCAGGGCAGGAGAAGGAAGAGATTGCCTCAAGTCCTGTGGCAGTTTGAGGGTCCCCTTAGCAGCAGTCAAATGCCTTTTTGCCTCTGGGCTCATCCACACTTGTCCCCTGCCTAGATAGCATGGGCTTTTCATTTGTCTTGTGCTTTTTAACCTTTTACCTGCTGCTTTCCCTTGGAAAATCCACTCTTTAGCACTATATCAGAACAAACATCAATCTGGAGAAAACTCCATTGACTTTTGCTCTGATTCAGTGGTAAACAACGGGTTTTCCCAAGGGAAAACAGTGGGGCACGTGGAAGTGTTGATAAGCGGTGAGCCTTCTGTTAGGCTTCCCTCTTCCCTCTACTATAATGTTCAAGCCAAGTTTTCCAACTCACAAGCAAGAGGCCACTCTCCTGCTGCCGCCATTCAAGCAGGGCCAATCTTTTCCACTGGGGTGCTTTGGAAATATCAACATGCAAGCAAGAGAGAGATACTGAATGTGTATGTGTATGTGTTTATGTGTATCTATCTATATATGCTAATGTAGTGAAGAAATTAATCCTAATTGCACCTTTTAGCACCACAAGATGCTCTTGACTTGGGCAGCTTCTCTTAATCTCCAGCTGTTTGCTCATCTGCCGTCCCTTCCTCCAATGCAATTAACTTGGAAATTAGGCTAAAGTACATTTTGCAGCCATGAAGTGGGGGCTTGACCCTGCTTCTGTGTGGCACAGCAAAAGAAGTTGAATGATGGATATTGGGAAGAAAGGTGTTTCTTGCTACTAGTGCCCCAATTTGGGGGTTCTGAATCAGATCAACCTTTTGAAGAGAGCAATTCTCTGTACCCACCACTTCTGATTCCTGGGCTCCTCTGTATATGTATTCCTGACTTGTCTTGGTTATTGGGCCTCAGATGAATCCAGTTCACAGTCCTAATTACTCCCATGACATGTAGGTACAGTGGATGCTCAGGTTGCGAACATGATTCATGCAGGAGGCATGTTCGCAACCCACAGTGTCCGCAACCTGCAGCGCTGCATCTGCACATGCGCGGGTTGTGATTTGGTGTTTTTGCGCATGCCCGAGCACTGAAACCCAGAAGTAACCCATTCCGGTACTTCCAGGTTTCAGCGCATGCATCCGTAACCCAAAAACGCGCAACCTGAAGCGTCTGTAACCCAAGGTATGACTGTATTTGTTAAGAGTATGCTTTAAGGCTGCACATTTAAATGTCTTAAAATGCTTGGTAGGGCATCACCAGAAAAAATGAGGAACACCACATAGCAGTCGATTAGTAGCATTCCTTTTGGTAGTGTGGGAATAGACTGGGTGCTGGGAGGTTCAGGACCAATAAAGGAAAGTTCTCCATGCTCCCACAAGCACTAGTGATGGCCACCAATTTGGACAACTTTTTTTTTTTAAGGATTAGAGAAATTAGTGGATAATAAGGCTATGACTTGTTTCTTGCCATGATGGCAATGCAAACCTTCTATGACCAGAGACAGTATGGTTCTGAATAGCAGATTCTGGGAATTGCAAATGGATGTCCCACTTGTAGACTTCCCAAAGGGCAACTTGTTGGCCGTTGTAAGAACAAGATGCTGGAATAGATGGACCCTTAGCCTGATTCAGCAAGACTCCTCTTAGGTTCTTTCTTAGTAGTTGATAGCAGATAATCACCTCTCATATTGGAGAGGCTTGGTGGAAGTGTTCAGGCTTACAGCCAATTAACAAAGCCCCTCGGGTCATGATTTTATTTCTGTTTATTAATTATTAGGTTCTTTTTAATAATAAAAAAAACCCCAACTGTTATAGCCCATTCTCTCACTGGCAAAGCTCCCAGAACAGCTTGCAAAAATGAAAGAGGACACATTAAAATCAATATGATAAAAATGTGATTAGGGAGCAGGGCAGATAAAAAAAAAATCCAGCAATGAAATTCATTTCAAACTGATGGATAGAGAAGGCCTGAGCAAATAAAGATAGGGTCTTCATATTCCGGAGAAAAGGACACAAAGATGGTGCCAGATAAGTCTGTCTAGAGACGGTGGGTGGACATACATGGAAATAGCAGGTATTTAACTAGCCACCTTGTATCTTCTGAAGGCACTCAGAGAAGGACTTCAGAAGATCTTAATACCTGAAAAGGTCAATGTGTGAGGACACTGTCATCACAGTACTCAAATCCTAAACCATTTGAGGCTTTAAAGGTTAAAAGCATATAGTTTCATTTATGCTCTGAAATGGACTGGGAATTTTTAAAAATGGCAAGATGTTTCATTATGTTCAGCAGATACTCCATGTACCAGTGATGTGCAGTGACCACAAGATTTGCCTGGTGTTATCTGCAGCTTTTGGAAGCAGACCAATTCTGTTTTGTATCTGCTCTATTTTGTTCAAATATGATTCCTCTGTCACGTCTGAATCTGATCCATGAAATCCGAAGCTGTGCTCCACTGCCATTGACTAATGGGGAAACCAAAAACAGCTAGAACATTTTTTTCATTTTCACATAAGTGGATCAAATTTCCAGTTAAATAGCACTTCCATAGGTGGATTTGCATTTAAATTTAAATTATGCATGGCATGGAACAAGTGGACAGAGAACAGTTCTTCTCTCACTCTCATAAGACTAGAACCTGTGGACACCCAATGAAGCTCAACATTGGAAGATTCAGGTCAGATAAAAGAAAATACTTTCCCCCACAGTACATTGTTAAACTATGGAAGTTGCTCCCACAGGTAGTAGTGATGGCCACGAACCTGGATGGCTTTAGATGATGTTTAGAGAAGAAGAAGAAGAAGTTATTATTTATACCCTGCCCATCTGGAATATTAAAAACACAATAAAACATCAAACATTAAAAACTTCCCTAAACAGGGCTGGCTTCATATGTCTTCTAAAAGCAAGGTAGTTGTTTATTTCTTTGACATCTGGCACTACTGAGAAAGCCCTCTGCCCGGTTCCCTGTAACCTCACTTCTCGCAGGGAGGGAACCACCAGAAGGCCCTCAGCGCTGGACCTCAGTGTCCGGGCTGAATGATGGAGGTGAAGACGCTCCTTCAGGTATACTGGGCCGAGGCTGTTTAGGGCTTTAAAGGTCAGCACCAACACTTTGAATT